GGGTAGAAGTGTCCGGTAGGCAGGAAGGGGATAGAAGTGCCTGTCGGTAGGCAGGAGGGGATAGAAGTGCCCGGTAGGCAGGAAGGGGGTAGAAGTGCCCGGTAGGCAGGAAGGGGGTAGAAGTGCCCGGTAGGCAGGAAGGGGTAGAAGTGTCCTGTAGGCAGGAAGGGGGTAGAAGTGTCCTGTAGGCAGGAAGGGGGGGTAGAAGTGCGCGGTAGGCAGGAAGGGGGTAGAAGTGTCCGGTAGGCAGGAAGGGGGTAGAAGTGCCCTGTAGGCAGGAAGGGGGTAGAAGTGTCCTGTAGGCAGGAAGGGGGTAGAAGTGTCCGGCAGGCAGGAAGGGGGTAGAAGTGTCCTGTAGGCAGGAAGGGGGTAGAAGTGTCCTGTAGGCAGGAAGGGGGTAGAAGTGTCCTGTAGGCAGGAAGGGGGTAGAAGTGTCCTGTAGGCAGGAAGGGGGTAGAAGTGCCCTGGTAGGCAGGAAGGGGGTAGAAGTGTCTGGTAGGCAGGAAGGGGGTAGAAGTGTCCTGTAGGCAGGAAGGGGGTAGAAGTGTCTGTAGGCAGGAAGGGGGTAGAAGTGTCCTGTAGGCAGGAAGGGGGTAGAAGTGTCCTGTAGGCAGGAAGGGGGTAGAAGTGTCCTGTAGGCAGGAAGGGGGGGTGTAGAAGTGCCCTGTAGGCAGGAAGGGGGTAGAAGTGTCTGGTAGGCAGGAAGGGGGTAGAAGTGTCTGGTAGGCAGGAAGGGGGTAGAAGTGCCCTGTAGGCAGGAAGGGGGTAGAAGTGTCCTGTAGGCAGGAAGGGGGTAGAAGTGCCCGGTAGGCAGGAAGGGGGGGTAGAAGTGTGCCCGGTAGGCAGGAAGGGGGTAGAAGTGCCCGGTAGGCAGGAAGGGGGTAGAAGTGCCCTGTAGGCAGGAAGGGGGTAGAAGTGACCTGTAGGCAGAAGGGGGTAGAAGTGTCCGGTAGGCAGGAAGGGGGTAGAAGTGTCCTGTAGGGTAGTGGATAAACTATATATATAGAAGATGTAATATAAAAAATATTTTTGCGCAAGAGGAATATAAATGTATGAATCACTATTATTATTATTATATATTTCTCCTGCGTCAAATGTGTTTTTATATTGTATCTGATATTGTCATGTCTCACATGGCTGTCATATGCCTTTAAATGTTTTCTGTGTTTTTTCTCTGCTCCTCCCTTTCCTTTGGTTAGCTAATGTTGCATAGATAGCCCTCCCCCCTTTCCCAGAGATGCATTGCAGCAAGCCTCATGGCATGGAGCAGGAAACGGCATGTGTTCTTTGGACCTATGGAATTTCATTGTTGTAAGATTCTCTCAGTTTATGGAATAAACTTCACAAGATCTACAAGATATCATCTTGATTGAGTCACTGACTGTGGTATCCAACTGAGGTTGGAGTTATCGCTCTCTCTTCACAACTGTAAGTTACAGAGATCACACTATCAATGCTGAGATTGGACACACAGAACAGATGTGTTATTAATAATAATAATAAAAAGATATAATATAAAATAATATTTTTTAAAAAACTAAGCACACTTTAAACACACTCCTTAATTGGCTAGAAAAAAAGTTCTTTATCTACTATATCTATCTGTCTCTCCACAACTTATTTTTGGTTTTAGATACATTTTAATCTTAATTTTAAATTGAAGGCCGGAGGAATATAAATGTATGAATCAGTATTATTATTATTATATATTCCTCCTGCGTCAAATATTTTTATATCATATCTGCATTATTATTATTATTATTATTATTATTAATAATAATAATAATAATAATAATCATCATCTAGCAGATACAATATACATAATATTTAATGCAAGAGTATAAATGTATTATACTGTATTATAAATGTATTAATTATTAATAATAATAATAAAAAAATATTTTTATATCGTATCTGCTGTAATATGATGATGATGATGATTATTATTCATAATAATCATCATCATCTAGCAGATAAAATCTACAGAATATTTGATGCAAAAGTATTATAAATGTATTATTATTATTATTACAATTATTATTATTATTATTATTATTAATAATATAATAATAATAATAATAATAATAAATATTCCTCTTGCATCAAATATTTATATATTGTATCTCCTGTATTATGATTATTATTATTATTATTATTTATTATTATTCATAATAATCATCATCTAGCAGATACAATCTACAGAATATTTGATGCAAGAGTATTATAAATGTATTAATGATTATTATTATTTATATATAAATAATAATATTTGTAATAAGTCGATAATAATATGTCGATCGGTTATGATTTCTGGCCCGGCGCGGAGTTGTTGTTCGGTGGGAGGGACGTTCCGTCACATTTGTGTCCAAACATTTTTCCTCCCAAGCTGTTGTCTTGTTGGTGGATGAAGTGCCAGCAGCCCTTCCAACAGACGGCCATGTTGTATTGCTGCCTCCTTGCGGCTCCATGAGATGATGGCTCTGCGACATACAAACTCCATGTTCTGGGATCATAAATTCTCATTTGCAGCACAATGCCTGCTCTCGGGATTTCCAGGTAGAAGCAAAGTGTTGCTAGATTGACAGTTCAGATTTCATAAACTGCCAACATTTTAGGCTGGCTCCCTGGAACACATTTACCCCCACCCACATTTTGTATTAGGTCCACCCAGTAATTAGGTGATCCCGCCCAGACCCCACCCACTTACTGGAGTAGCCCATCCAAAACCTCTCCTTTGTGTGTGCAGTGTCAGCCCACTGACTTGCTGTTCCTAATTGTAATGAGTGCCTTAATGAGTTACTGAGCATGCTCAGTAGCTAAAATAGGTGTGGCACTGCGATTCTGGGACACAGCCCAGGACACAGCATCATCCCGACTGATGTCTAAGGTGCGGAACTTACGTCTAAGTTGTGGGACTGATGATTAAGGTGCAGGACTGATGTGTAAGGTGCAGGACTGACATCTATGCTGTGAGACTGACATCTAAGGTGCAGGACTGATGTCTAAAGTGCGGGACTGATGTCTAAGGTGTGGGACTGACGTCCAAGATTTGGGACTGTCATGGTGCGGGACTGACGCCTAAAGTGCGGGACTGACGCCTAAAGTGCGGGACTGACGCCTAAGGTGCGGGACTGACGTCTAAGATGCGGGACTGACGTCTAAAGTGCGGGACTGACGCCTAAAGTGCAGGACTGACGCCTAAAGTGCAGGACTGACGCCTAAGGTGCGGGACTGACGCCTAAGGTGCGGGACTGACGCCTAAAGTGCAGGACTGACGCCTAAGGTGCGGGACTGTCGTCTAAGGAGTGGGACTGACTGATATTTAAGGTGTGTGTGTATTAAAGTGCTAAAAGTTCTATTACATAAAAAATAAAAAAAACCTTACTGACCTCTGTAGCTGCGACAACTGTGGAGTCCTTCATTCTCTTCAGATGAAGCCTCTGGGTTTTGCTTTCACTTTCTCTCCATAGCTCAGCGCCCCCTCCTGGCATAAACTAAACATCTCCAAAATTCTTTTATTGAATTTAAACGCAGAGGAAGAGTGCAGGCAGAGGGTGAGAGCAGAGTGCAGGAAGAGGGTGAGAGCAGAGTGCTGAGACCAGACTTGAAGGACTCTTCTGCCTTGATCGTAACCTTTGAGGATGAATTGCTCTGCAGGCGCTGCAGCTACTGGGGTTCTGATCCCCATATCACTACAGAACACTATGGTGATGCGATGGCCGTCAGGATGAACCACAGCAGGGGGGGCGGGGCAGGGCGGGGCTACGCTCTTCAACACATCTGGGTGGATTGCAGCACCTCCAGCGAATACAGACTTCCCTCGCCTTCCACCAGAACGCTGCCTTAGGCCAGCCATACACGGGTCGAAAATCGACCAATTTTACATCCTAAAATTGGACCTAAGAATAATCGGCCGATTTTCGCTCTGTTAGTGGGGTCAATGGCACCGGTCAATTTTCGTGGCCCCTCCCCTTTTCGGTGATCGGGCATGTTGGAAAATTCGTGAAAAACTACCGATTTTGGACTCAATGATGGTCAAATCGTACGATCATTTTTCCGAAAAGAATATGCGCCATGAGCCGCGACCTGGAAGGAATGGGGTGAACCCTGTTATATGGGGTGAATTGGTTTTCAAAATCAATGATGGCGCCAACGGATTACAGAGCGAACGACTTTTTCCAATTTTCGGACGAAAAAACATTCAGAATTTGACCCGTGTATGGCCTGCATTAGTTTTATCATTAGGTTTACATATGAAAGATTTATATCCAAATATCTTCTCTTTACAGCTGAGATTTCATCTACTTATTTTGTCCTTCCCTGGGAACTACCCCTCCCCTCACCCCCCTCCTCCCCTCATCATCAATACGACATTTTTAATTAAAACATTTTCATTACATAATTCTACTTTAGTCCCAGTGATGTCATCACTGGGTCTCTGTGCTTCTCTATACAATGCAGGCAAATCATAGCTGGTGGGAGGGTCCAGCATGGGGCGGTACATGGCTCCCTGAAAACTTCACAGCCCCCCGCCTCTGTACTCCTCTCCAGGGCCCCCAGTCCTAAAGCAAGCAGTGGGCGGGCTCTTAAGAGTTACGCAAATATCAAAATCCCTTGATGGGTGGGTGTTAATCTGGAGGAGTGGGCGTTGCTAGGCCGGCTGTATTTGCATAGTGTTACCGATATGCGAAGCTGAGCCTCCATGATTGAAAGAACTGAAGTCCAATGAATGAAAAGGCTGGGGCCCAAGGACAGCCAGGCTGGGGAGGAAAGTGTTAGATGATGCTGGACGTCCTCCAGCCAGGAGATGAGGCGGAGCTCTAACTGGCTGCAGCTTCTAATGCACATTGTGAGAAGCTCCCAGTGTGCAGTGACATCAGAGGAACTCATCCCAGCCCAGGGGAGGAGCAGGTACACCTGTGCAAGACTGAAGGGGAGGAGCCGGTAAACCTGTGCAAGACTGAAGGGGAGGAGCCAATACACCTGTGCAAGGCTGAAGGGGAGGAGTCGGTACACCTGTGCAAGGCTGAAGGGGAGGAGTCGGTACACCTGTGCAAGACTGAAGGGGAGGAGCCGGTAAACCTCTGCAAGACTGAAGGGGAGGAGCCAATACACCTGTGCAAGGCTGAAGGGGAGGAGTCGGTACACCTGTGCAAGGCTGAAGGGGAGGAGTCGGTACACCTGTGCAAGACTGAAGGGGAGGAGCCGGTACACCTGTGCAAGACTGAAGGGGAGGAGCCGGTACACCTGTGCAATACTGAAGGGGAAGAGTCGGTACACCTGTGCAAAACTAAAGGGGAGGAGCCAATACACCTGTGCAAGGCTGAAGGGGAGGAGTCGGTACACCTGTGCAAGGCTGAAGGGGAGGAGTCGGTACACCTGTGCAAGACTGAAGGGGAGGAGCCAGTAAACCTGCACAAGACTGAAGGGGAGGAGCCGGTAAACCTGTACAAGACTGAAGGGGAGGAGCCAATACACCTGTGCAAGGCTGAAGGTACACCTGTGCAAGGCTGAAGGGGAGGAGTCGGTACACCTATGCATGACTGAAGGGGAGGAGCTGGTACACCAGTGCAAGACTAAAGGGGAGGAGCTGGTACACCTGTGCAAAACTAAAGGGGAGGCTGGAGTCCAGCCTTTTTAGGATCTAACTGTCCATTCTTGCCTTGCTGGGTAGCAGCGAGTCTCCCAATAGGGAAGCCTGCCCCTGGGCAACCAATGGTCAGCTAAGAGGATCCCCATTCTAAGGCTGCTGCCTAATACTGAAACTTTCTTATTGAACCAGCAATGCCATACAGGGGGCGTCCTGTGGGGGGCGCTGCTGCTCTGCTTCTGAGGATCAGTTTATAATAAAACTCTAATAAACCCCCCAGAGCAGATCTTGGTGATTGGCCCATTATTGGCTCATTATCGGCTCATTATTGGCCCATTATTGGCTCATTATTGGCCCACTTTAAGGACATGTAAGCCCACCCAGAGAGATGAGGTTACTATGAGGACGGATTCTGCACGTGGTGGAGGATTCCCGCCCCGCCGCTCTTTTCTGCTGAATTTGCCGCGCTGTAGAGAAAAAGATGAATGTGTGACGCCTGGTAAATAATGCAGCGGCAGGAAATTTCGGGTCCACGGACGCATAAATCTGTCGGGACGCAGAGTGTAATCACCTGGCTGACCTATTAATATTCCAAACCGTCCGGATCTAAATATACAACACGGCGAGGCCATCATTTATATCACGCTGTGTTTTCCCCATTCTGTTTATAGAAAATGCTGATTGGAAGAGACCCAACGAAAACCGCAGGACGCAACATAACACGTGGACAGCGCGCCTTGAGGAAAACCCGGAATATTCTACTATCCCTTCCAGTCCTTCGTCAGCTGATATTTAAAGGATAACTCCAACTAAACCTAAAAATCTAATTT